GGAGCTTTCTAAAGTGATACTTGTTTCTATTTTCAGCCATTTTCCATTGTGGGGGACAAAAGGTTTCAAACTTGTCCAGGCCTTAAACCTAATATCTGTATCTATTACTAATAAATGCATAAAAATAAGGCTCTTTTGAAAACACTGAATAAAAAAATTGCTTCCTTGAACAAGACTAAATTTGCAGTCCTGTATTGAATATTGCATAAAATAAACTATATACAATGTGTCTTTGAATGGCTGAGATGCAGAAATTTCTGCAAGTAGCACAGAGTCATGGCTCTGTTTCTGAGTGTCTGCATGCATCTCACAAGCCTGAATGTGCGTTTTTAAACCATTTATAGTTCTTATGTCACGGTTTGTGGGGCAAGCTGTGTGGTGTTGTGAGAAAAGGACCCAAGATGCAGGCAAAGGCTGTGATGCGAGTGAGCTTTATTAACAGTGAGTGATAACGAACAAAAGCGAGGATGGCGAGGCCAGAACTAAGACATAACCTAAACTGGGAAAATAATAAACAAACCTAGAACCATAACATTCAGGGAGAAACACGGGGTGGGAAGCAGAGAGATGCAGCGAACACCATGAAACACAGATGGACCGACAACCAGCATAGACAAACACACACTATATATACACATTGATGGAAAGAAGGAAGGGCAAAAGAGGAGGGAGGCACTGCTGATCATAATTAGAACTAGAAAAATTTGCATTTCCTGCGAAAATGCTCTGTAAATGCTGTAAAGCTGAAGCTGTCTGCTGAAAACAGCTGAAAATAGCTGAAGAAGCTTAAGTCAGTGTTTGAAAAGTAGGTGAACTTGTAATCATTTTGCTCAAGCATAGAAACTTAGCAAAAATATAATAACTTGGCAGAAATGGTACAACACAGCAGAAGAATTGTAATTCAGAAGAAATGTTCATATTTAGCACAAACATAACAGCTTGGAAGACATGGTGTAACAGTATAATAGTATAACTTTGCAGAAATGTAATATAGTAGCAGAAATAGTATAATTTTGTGGAAAAGTAACTTAAGCAGAAATATCGGAAAAGAAAACTGGCCAGCTGAAAAAAGCTGAAGTTTTCTCAAAACTACTTATTTTTCAACTGTGAAAAATTGGCAGAAACATTAGAAAAGCAAGAAGGAACAGCCAGCAGATACACAAAATTACAAATATGGGCACACATGCACACAGAGGCTCACACAAACACAGACATGGAGCACGGAAAGGCAAAAATGACATGCCTAACAATGTTTACAAATATGGACACACACACACAGAAACACAGTGACACATAACCCGCATCCAGAAAGCAATATTTACAAACATGGATGCAAACATAAACACAGACATAGAAACATACACACACAAGGGCACACAGAGACACACAGAGCATGGAGTGTCCTGTGTGTTTCTATGCCAGTCAACAGTGTTGGGGAGTAACGGAATACATGTACCGCCGTTACGTATTTCAAATACAAAATATGAGTAACTGTATTCCGTTACAGTTACCGTTTGAAGGGGTGGTATTTAGAATACAGTTACTTTGTTGAAATAAATGGATTACAC